TGTAGGTGGAATTAAATTCACACGACCTTAACAATTTCTTAGTCTATGAATCAAGGACTCCTATTTTGGACTTTAAAACTAAGCAACGAGAGAGGTTCAATGAATCTCTCAAATGCTATGATAGTTTTAAAAAATAGAGAGCTTTGTACTTCAAATCATGGTTTAAAAAGGTACACCTATTGTGCCTTGAGGCTGTACTTTCAATACTTTTTCAATGAGGCAGGTGCCTCATTGACTGACCCCCACGCCTCAATATGTGTGTCTCAAGGAGCGTGAGGCATACATCTCAGTTTTATTCTGGCCTTCGAGTTGTTTTTATTTTTTTTTAATTAAAATTTTTCCCTCTTTTCTAAGGGTGACTTTTCATATATAAAAGGGCAACTAAAGAACCCCACGTCTCACCATTTCCAAAAAACAAGAGTCTTTTTCTACAAGGCTGCATGGTGGTGCCACTGCCAATTGTGAAATTTCTGGCAGGTAAAAGCTTTTATATATATATATATATATATATATATATATTTTATTACTGATTATCATCTATTCTCTATAAATTTTATTTTTTTCTCTAATATTCTTCCTCCACAAGATTGCAAGGCAGCCACTCGGTCACTCATATAATCCAGCATAGATTCTAGTTCTGAAGTTCCAGCAAAAAATTTCTCATGTTATTTGGATTGTTTCGAGGCACGTCTCGCCTCACAAAGGAAAAAAGCTGCAGTACCTAGTTCGCCTTTTCAAACATTGCTTTCACTAAAGCATTATCTTTTAATGTTTTTCATTGGGCGATCTTCTATTTTCCTAATTCCTTACAAGGTGATGGTTGAGTTTAGCCTTGACATTTATTTTACCAAGAAATTAGCAATATAATTATATTCTCTGTTTCTCTTTTGATCATTTATTTGCCTTCTTGAACTAACGAGGAGAAAACAATGATACACAGCACTGAATTGCTCAGTCTCTTCAGTTGAATTCTGTTTGTTGCTCAAGAAAAATCTAGTCATGCCATTTATGTTATAGAATGCCGATCTTATCGGGTCCCAACTTTGACATTGTTGTATTTGTAAAGATGAAATCAGCTTATTAACCAGAACTTTAAGATTCCCATGACAATGGAAGTTAACATCATTCGTAGAGTGTGTGAATAAACTGTGTGAACATACCATCAAGAAGAGAGAGGCTCTCTGATGGGGCAATTGCATCAGGTTTGGCTCGCCGCACAATTGTTTTAAGCACACTTCCATCCCCGGTCAAATCTACTGAATCTCCCATGGTTCTCTGCTGTCTGTGGGTAAACAAGGCTTAAGTAGTAAACTCGCAAATGACCAAATCAATATAAATGATGTGTCAAAATTTGTATAGCCATTCAAAACTTCTGAAACCAAAATTGTATGAATTACATCTCAAAGACTTGACAACAAAATTACTTAAGAAAAAAGGTTGAACAATTAAATATTATAAATACAGTGATGACCCAATGAATAACACGTACTGTCGGTCGAATGATAAATGTTAAAATTAATTTCTTTCACTATGTTGATGTTTCTTGCAGGAATATTTTATACTTCCATATGTAGTGTTTTCTTTAAAATGCAACCTTTTACATTTTATATACTAGTAATTACTTCACAGTTTTAAATTTTGCAAATATCTCATTCCAAGATCAAGTAAGTTATGATTAATCAAAGATTGAATTGACCAAAAAGTCCCAGGCAATTCACTAGGACGAAAGTATAAATTATAATAAACATCACCAATTTTTTTTTTTTTTTTTGGCAAGAATGTTTCCTAAGTCATATAAAGAATGTAATTTAATCTCAAATTATGCCTCCCAAAAATTCAAACTGTTGAATTCACCAAATTTTACCCTTCAACGCATATCCAAAAATTTCAAACATTTATCATCACTAAATAATAATATAACAAAAATTAATTCAAACTGTTGAATTCACCAAATTTTACCCTTTAATTGTATATCCAAAAGTTTCAAAAATTTATCACAACAATAATATAAGAAAAATCCGTAAAGACTAAAACTTGAAGTACTTTATCAAATTATCAGAATTAAAAAAAAAAAATTAACTTAAAACTTAATAATTTAACAGAAAATCAAGATTGCGATTAGAATATTCTTTAAAGGGTGAATATTCAAGCATACCTGAGCAACGAGGGCAATGGAGAAAAAGGATGAGGGTAGTAGGAGAATTTGAGCGAAGATGAAGGGTAAAATTGGAAAAATCGGTGGAACTTGTATAGTATAAGCAGAGGTCGTCGGCCATAAAGCTTCTGGTGCTTCCTTTCTTGGCTCTTTACAGTACTCGCTGCTGCTTTTATACACGTAAAATAGAGACTATTCAGCCACGATACCATCAGCGCCTTGCCTTCACGAAGGTACACTGAAAATTTAATCCCGGCCCAACTAATCTTACCCCAAGTAAAATTGGGCCTATGAGCAACGAGTTCAGCTCTTGAAGATAAAATGGGCGATTTGAGCCTGGCCTAACAACTTACCCAACTGAAATTGGGCCAGGGCACAAGTTTGCTTCTCGTAATATATTCATTTTGTATGTTTTGTTGTCAACCTTTACTCCTTGTTACTCCTTTTATGTACCATTTTTATGTACAAGTAACATAATCCCATTTTTAAAGAATGGTAATTATGACAAATATTACATTCTCCCATTTTCTTATGCCTTTTCAAAATGAGTGACCTTTTTGTGTATCTTAAGAGAATCGTATGTAAACCTTCAGTATCAGTTTATCATTGGATGTGCTGTTCGAAAGTTCACGATTGCTTAAAAGTAGAGATGGCAACGGGGCGGGTTCCGGGTGGGGCATCCCGCCACTCCCCCGCCCCACCCCGTGCGAGGTGCAGGTCTGCCCCTTTTTTTCTCAAAAATTCTTAGTTAAAATACAAATTATAAATTCTAAAATCCAAAATAAATAATATTCAAACTAACTACATCAATATTCAAAGCAAGCACTCAAAACAAACAATGTCCAAACAAATTTTTTTTTTTTTTAATTCTTCACATGGTGGGGTGGGTTTTTTTGCCATCACTACCTAAAAGACTTGGATATTGATTGAGAAAAAAATCTTTTTTCCCGAGAATCCACTCACTAAAAGAATATTTTAGCACAAGACAATTATTTTTGTACTTAACAATCTTCTTGAGTTTGTTATCGATCTGTGAATTCTCGAGTGTCCCTTTTTTTGTAAAAAATTGTAGATCCATGATAAGACGGTGATTTCTTAGCCCCATTTGGTTTGGATTAAAATTTCAAGTCAAAATCAACTATTAATTTTATCTACATATTTTATGGGATCTAAATTTTTCAACTATATATTTCGTCAACTTTTATTAAAATTTAATTAAGATCTGATTTTAATCTCTACCAGGGGTTTAATCTCCGTCAGTGTTTTGCATCTTTAAAAGGATAACACGTGTACTAAATGAAAAGAGAGGGGATAATGAGCTAATGATGTTTTCGCCCTTCTTTAAAATATTGCATCAAAGGCCCTTTTACATGTGCATTACACTTGCGTTTGTCAACGATAGAAAATGACAAAATCAACATCAACGACGAATTGCATTAATTGATGAGAGCTTAAGGTTCGAAGTCTTACAGAAAAAGGTTGGGGACAAAAGTGTAACGATGGGTTAAGGTTGGGAACAAAGTGTATAATTTAGCATTGTGAGTATATAACGTATTCATTTAAATTATGGGTAAATTGTACTTTTTGTCTCCAACATTTGCTCAACTTAACAACATGTTCCCAACCTTTTATAAATTACAGAGTTAGTCCTGAAGGAAGTTTTGGGGCCTAGTTTGGCCGACTTTTAATACATTTTTTTGACCATTTAAAAGATCAATGGGGTCCAATTTTGCAGAAAAATACTGATTGCAGAGCTAGCAAAATACCAGAGTTACCATTATTTAATAAAAGACTGATTTTATTTGGAGGGAAAAAATTGTTAATTTTATTGAATTCGATCAAAAATAACTGCTCCCCACTAAAACGCGCAACTGTATAACAATTAGGGCTGTCAATTGATTGAATTTTGATCAGAATATGATGAAACTAATGGGAGATAGATTTAGGGTCTCATTCCGATAACCTGATTAAGATCAGAATTCTATAATTCGTTAATTAAATTGATCAAATATGGATATAGGTCAATCCGATTCGATAACAATTCAATACGATTTGTTATAAATAGTTGAGTCGGTTAAATATTTTAGTGGCATGTTATTTGTCACAAAAATGAATAAATGAGAAAATAAAGAAATTTATAATAAAAAAGTCATCAAATTCAAAACATTAATAATAATAATAATAATAATAAAAAGCGTATTGCGCAACGAGTCGTGGAGGTTTCGGGTTAGGCGAGTCTAAACGAAACCTAGACGTAAAAAAATGTAAAAATATATTTTCTATTTAAAATTTTTAATCAATCTAAAGATTATTTAATGATACATACAAATTATGATACCAAAGGCAATTTAAAAGCTTAATAAAATAAATATATTCGATAAACAAGATATAATATAACGGTGTTAATTGAAATATTTGGAGAGTTTTAAATTTGTAATTGAATTGGGTTTTAACTGGTCAAAATATGGACCAAAGAGAAAAAAAAAAACGTTGCATTGCCGCTAGCTTACTGCTCAAGCGGTGCACCTGCTGCAAGGTTACCGAGAGCCGACGCTCGAGCGCTGCACTTGTCTGGGCAAAGATTGTGTTCTTTAGTCTATGTGATTTTTGATACTCTTTCCATCTTTAGGACTTGTATTAGAATTTTAGCGTACCCCATATATATAGTTGACTCTTTTTTACAAGTTAAAATATTACAGAAGTTAAAAATACGAAACTTTGTATTATTTCTCCATGTTAGATTGAATTATCCATTCCTCTGTTAAGTTCTTCTTGTGTTGTGATTATTATTTCATATTATGTCATATAATCTCATTTTTTTCACTCTTAACAAGTAGTATCATCATAATTAATTCTTATAGTAGTAATACTCTCAACATTGAAAAAATATATGGTACTTTATTTTCAAATGAAAAGATGGAGCATCTTGTTGGATCCGAAGGTCAAGGAGAAGGCCTCGTTGTTCATGGTGGTGACATGGGGGGCATATCGAAGTCTAATTTCAATAATCAAATTTGTAACTATTACAAGAAAAAAGAGCACATAAAGAATGATTACTACAAGTTACAGAATAAAGAAAAATTGACTGTAAATCAGAAGGGAATGCGATCAGAAACTTCAGGTAAAGTCAATGTTACATAGAGTTATATGAGTGATGAAGAACTTTTGGTTATTTCTAAAGACGATTCCAAACCTGATTAAAATTTGATTCTTGACACAACTTGCACTTTTCATATGTGTCACAATCGGGATTTATTTTAAACATATGAAGAAGTTTCGAAAGATGTTGTAGTTATGGACAACAACGCACCCTTTATTTGAAGGGTTAGATTTAAGATGTTGGATGGAACGGTCAAAACACTTGATGCAGTGAGACACGTTTCAAATTTGAAGAGAAATTTTATCTCATGACTACTTTTGATTCAAATGGGTACAAGTTCACTAGTGAATGTGAAGCCATGAAGGTTTGTAAAAGTATCCATGTTGTGTTAGAGGGGTATTGAAGGTCCCAATTGTATGTCTTACAAGGTTATACATAATCTTTAAAGATCAATCAGCAGAAGTTTAGTACTTTGGTGAATATTCAATTTGGTAGAGTACCATTGAAGTTTGGTTTGGGGTCTATGTTAAAGAATACAGCTCAGTCGAATTCAGAAGTTATAGATAATGTCACTTTGCTGCCACCACCAACGGTGCTATCGTATTCAATTTCTAAAGACAAACCCAAAAGAAATTTTAGGCCTCCACATAGGTATTAGAAGCTGATTTAGTTACGTATACTTTAAGTGTGGTTGAAGGTGTTGAATCTAGTGAAGAACCTTCTACAAAAGCATTTTGTGGTGTTGATTCTATTTCAGGGTATGGTTTTGGCATGTTTGTTGATTGTTGACTTATATTGTGATTTTGTTGCTCGTGTTGATAATTCGAGCAAATTTTGGGAACCCAAGGTAATTCTACTAAACAGTTCTTGAATTAATTTATACTATTGGGTTTTGTGGAAGATGTGGAGAATTTTGTTCGTTAGAG